AGATTCAAATTTCTTCTATACTCACTTTGAGCTATAAAGAAAGTAACCCACTTCTCCAAGATCAATGTTGTAACCTACAGATACAATTTCAGCATCTTACCATCTGCTCAGCCAATCCACAGCAGCATTATGAAGCTGAAGGTGACCAGCACCTTGGCCTGCACTGGCCAGAGTGGCCATCACAACCATAAGTTCAGGGAAGCCAGTCCCATCACCGTTGGCCAGCATCTCTGTTGCCATGGGAGTCAGGGTGCCCAGAAGAACAGCACACACACCTTCCCCAACTTGGCTAGGAGAAAAGAAAGAGAAAGTTGGTGAATAATCAACAGGAATCTCATTCTGTGTGTTATAAAAGAAGTTTTAAATTAAACATTAAATACATAACTACAATACCAATCCCAGTTTTGGACTTGGGCTAGTAGAGCATAAAACATTTCATTCAGGTTGTAACTAACAGGCCAAGTCATTCCAAGTTTTCCCATGGGAAAAAAATCAAGGAGCTACATACACTAGAATCCTTGAGTCTAGAAAGAGGTAGATATGAAAATGTTGAAAAAGCTAAGACTGGTGCCTGAAGAAAAGATAACTGCAAATATCAACGTATTTCTGGGGTTGCTAGGGAAACACGACAGAAATGAAGTTGTTCTACCTGTTTTCCCGAACAATGTATGTGGTCAGTAACTGCAGCAGCTGCCGATTCTCCTGAATTACATCCAGCTGATCAGAATCTTTTGGGGGTGATGTAGTCATGCGGGTGAGCCAGGCCTGCAGGCGCACAGGCTCCACACAGGCCAACTGTGCCAGGGAGCCGCAGAGATGCAACAGGCTTGGGTTAGGGCTCTTCTCAGCTAGGAGCAGAACAAGAGGCCAGGGTCAATAAAGAAGGGCAAGAGGAAGGGAAAGAAGGGGCAAATTGTGAGCCAGGAAGAGGAGAAATGGCTTCAAAGCAAGTTTTCAACTTCCTTCCAAACTTTCTCTGAGGGATTCTCTCCACTTGTTAGCATTTTCATGCTATAGTTAAACTCAGGCAGAAGATATGCACAGTATTTGCCGGACATCAAAGTTCCCATAAGAAGATTACTAAAAGCTGTCACTCACTCAGCTGGAAGAGTTTGGTGAAGAATTTCAAAACTCGGTTACAGAATTTAGCAGAGAGGTTCTCATTGGCTGTTGCCATCATGATCTGTACAAGTTCTCCACTGGGAGGCATGAGGGGAGAAAAATGGAAGAATCACATTAAAGCCTCACATAAAAAGCATCCTTTCTTCACAATCTCATCTCCTCTGGGGAAAATGGCCACTTATGAGTCAATGACACAAAGCATTCATGAAATTAACCCCCTCACCAATAACCCCAAGGAGTCAGCAGTTAACTCCCCAAAGTGCAGACACCTAAACAGGCCTTAAATATTGCTGATAATAAGTACCTAAATCAACATATATAGCTCCTTACTTTCAAGAGGCATTCAAAAAATATTTACGGAATAAAGCAAAACACGGCTCACCTGTCAGAGAAAAACTCCTCCATAGCTTTACGGGCCTGGCTGCTTTCCAGCTGCTTTTCCAAGTACTGGAGACATTCCTCCAGGATGGATTCATCCAGTCCACTGAGGATCAAATGGAAAACTTAACCACCAGTATTAAGACCTGTTTCAATGTCCTCCTCATGGTGATTTATTAAAATCCAAAGTTTGCCTGTTTGACCTTGATGGCAATGTCCAATTTTGTTTTGGCAAAGCTTAACATAAAGCCTGGCACAAAGTAGGTGTTCAATACACATTTACTGAATTAATAGCAGCCTCTCAACTTTATTTTTCTATCCTCTTTCCTAGGAAATTGAACAGGAAAGGCATCTAAAACTTGGTCCTAATCCAGATCTGCCAGTGATTTAGGGAAAAAGACACTTTGGACAAATCATTTCCACACAGCTAAAAGTGTCTGGAATTATTTATCTGTTAAAAAGAAAAAGAAAAGAGGAGAAAGGGAATAAAAGGAATCCTTGATGAAAATCTGGACTACTCAACAACAAAGAGACAGGAAATTCCAACATGTGGCACCTTCATTTGTATAATTCTCAGTGGGGTGAAAAGGAAACAGAATTTTCTTTACAGCTCATCTACAGCAATGTGGCCTAAACTACCAAGGTACAGCTATGCTGTGGGACTGCCCATTCCACACTCATTTCAGTGGCACGATCACCAAATTTTAGAAACGAATTTCAGTGAGCTCCTCTGTACATCTCATCAGAGCCAGAGCAGCACTTGATAATCATTAAAAACAATTTTAAGTCTCCAAATCTAAACATTTAAGTCTTCCATTTTCTTAATGTCTATTCCTAAGAATTAATCGCAAAAAAGGACTCCAAAAAACTCTTCACATATTTCCATATTAATGCAGAATGCACACAAGTACAGAATTTTCTGCTGAAAAACACAAATAACAATAAGCTGGCCATGTGTGGTGGCTCACGCCTGTAATCCCAGCATTTTGGGAGGTCAAGACAGGAGGATCACTTGAGCCCAGGAGTTCAAGACCAGTCTACACAACATGGCAAAACCTATCTCTACCACAAAAAAAAAAAAAAAAAATCAGCTGGGCATGGTGGCATGCACTTGTAGTCCCAGCTACTCAGGAGGCTGAGGTAGGAGGATTGCTTGAGCCCTGGAGGCAGAGGTTGCAGTGAGCCCCACTGCACTCCAGCCTGGGCGACAGAGCGAGACCATATCTCAGAATAAAAAAAACACACACACAAAAACAGTAAGCTATTAATTAATGACCTAAAGGTAGCAGTGTTGGTACATTTCACTGATAGTAGCAGTAGGTCACAGGAAACCTGACTGTTCTCCATCAAGCTCACCTGTTAGGATCTGCATGATTGGCCAGAATGTTGTAACAACCAGTGATCAGCTTCTCATAAACACGAGCCAAGAACTCATCAGACTCAGCAGGGCCCAAGATACGTTCCAGGGAGTTGCTACTGATCTCAGCAACACTCTCAGTGCTTGATTCCAAAAGAAGTGGTAGCAGGGTCCGAATGACCTGTGGTGGGTTCATCTCATCGGACCAACTTTAGCAAAGAAAATGAAATCGAGTTAGTGAACACACTCCTTCAAAAAGCTGCAAAGCAAGGACAGGGTAATTCAATTATTTGCCAGGGGAGAGGGGAAGGGGAATTGCGCAAGGACCTTTATTACAGTCTTTTTCTCATGATAGCTATTTTATACACAGGTATCATCATACAATCTCATATTATTCTTTTTCATTATTTTATCAGAAATAAAAATCATTTTCACTTGAAAAATCCATTTATTAAAATGTCAAATTAATGAGCTGCATTTTCTAATATTCAACAAAGAAAATTAACTGAAACCAAAGCAAGTATTCCATTCCAGACAAGCCTTCCAGAAGAACTGCCAGGAACCTGGATCACTTTTAGGGCAATATGATATGAGACTTTACCTGTTACCTATGTATAAGAAGACAAAGTAGTCCCTCCATTGGCCTGACCTGGTTCCTACAATAGTGGAATTTATCCCACTATGATTCTGGAGAAACATTATCAAATAATCTGTCACTATCACTTTAAAATTTAAACCCAAGACATCTCCAAATTGCAATATGTCTTAAAGCCAGCAAGCCTTTTCTGAAAAATACTACAGAAAGGAGGAAGTACTCTGTTGTCTTTCAGATCTAAGTTAAAAAATCACTCTAGGTAAGTGTTCACACTTTAAAACAACAGGTACTCTTTGCTAAAGAAGTATACAAGAAAGCATTACTACATAGTTATAAAACTCTCACTGTCCCTCTTTAACCACAATAGAATACAGACGTAGAGTCCTTGGGGCTATGTAGTAGATACTCACACAATAAGATCTCCAGTCAACCTGACCAGTGAGAGGAGGGTGTGCTTCAGGGAAGCAGCCAGGGGCAGACTTTGGCTACAGAGAGTCCCCAGGTGTGCAGCCTGCACTGCACTGATATAACTCTCTGAAGGGATGGTGTCATTGGCAAAGGCATTGCGCTGAAAGGAAGCAAAGCAGATGTAAATGGATAGACCATCTACCCTGGAAAAAATTCTCACATGGAGAAAAACTGATATAAACTAAGACCCCACTGACGTTTGTAAACAATAGCCTTACTCAGTATACACTGTTATTCATGCTGGGAAGAGAAGTGGGGTACAGAAAAGGAAGCAGTTAAATTTCAATTAGTACAAAGTTAACAGTTAAATGCAATGAATATCCAATACCACTTTCAAATGATTAGAGTATAATATAACGCACTATATTTAAAGTAAAACTATCGTTTATCTATAATGACTGAGAAGGAACTGGATTTTGCAATGCATCTGGTCTCTACTAAAGCTCTGGGTGGTGTAAACAGAGGTCACGATCGTAAAGCAGGGATAACAAGACTATAATATTTAGCTTTTCAAAAGAACTTCAGTAAGCGAATAATCTGTTAATAGAGGCAGTGTGAGCAGAGGATATACAAAGAGCAAGTAAACTGACAGAAGACTCAGTAGTATTTAAAAGCCTAGAGAAGCTAAAAGTGACCCTGTAAAACTGTTACAAAAGGAGCAGGTTCCTGACATATAACCTACAAAGGAAACAGAGTTAACATGTATTGGGAATTCATGTGCCAGGTAATATGCTAGGCACTTAACATTCAATACACTGAATCGTCACAGTCCAACATTCAATTGGTGAAGAAACTGAGGCTCAAATAAATAAAATGGTTTGTCTTCTGATAACACAAACTTATAAGCAAAAAGCCATATGAGAACCAACTAGGTGATTAAATGCATTGATTATTGATTCAGCCATAGCCAATATTACTGCAGTATATGAAGATCTCTTGGTAGCTAGTTTAAGCCTAATTCCTTTAGGCTTAAGAACAAAAGACAGAATGACTAGCACTCAGTAGTTCTACCCCTGGAACAGACAGGGACTCACCCAGGATCCAATATTGGGAAATTCATTGGTATTGATGTTGTTCCAGGACTCACATACAGCCTGCACTGACGATGGCAAATTCTGAACCAGTGTCGGACCTGGAGGCAACAGAAAGGACAAGGAATCATCACAAGAAAGAAGGAATGACACAGAGCATTTTAAAAGCCAAGCCCAAATGCAGAAAGAAACAGTACAGCCCAGGCTGTCAAAATAATTAGTAAGATAGCTTAGATGGATATTTCAATAGCAGTACTATTTCCAAGAACCAGTTAATTGCTTAATAGCTAACACTCTCAATTGTAAGGTTTTCATTTCCCATCATATTCACTTTCCAATCTTGCAAGTAAAGACGACAACTGAAAATAAGATGCGAAGTGAGGGTGAATCATTGCAAGTCAGACTGAAATCACCATTAAACATCTGCTCCCCTTCTATAAATAGGTGTCACTTTTCTCTTGATCTCTTTTCTCTTTAAGACAAATCTTAAGGGCAGGGATCATAACATACATTAAGAACAGCACTCAATGCAGCAGTACAAAGTGAGACTATCTGAATGTTAAATGAATATTTAAAGCTTGAAATTAAGGAAAATACAAACGGTTGTAAATTTTAAAGGGTAACTACTGTACTTAACTCCAATCAAGCCCTTTGATTTTTCCACCCTAAATTTCTACCAGATCATTCCTAACCCAGCAAAGAGATTATTTCCGGGCACAAAAGTACTAGCTTGCTAATCCTCCTATCCCCTCTAAATAAAAAGAACACCAGCCTGGGCAACATAGCAAGACCTCATCTCTACAAAAAAATTTAAAAATTATACAGGTATGGTAGTATGTACCTAGGATCCCAGCTACTTGGGAGGCTGCGGCAGGGGGACTGCTTGAACACAGGAGGTAAAGGCTGCAGTGAGCTGTGATAGCACCACTGCACTCCAGCCTGGGCGACAGAGTAAGACTCTGCCGAGAGAAGAGAGAAGAGAGGAGGGGAGGGAAAGGGAGGGGAGGGGAGCAAAGATCTGTGCTAAAGACAAAATAGCCTTATGTTTTAGAACCAACAGATCCTGGTTTGGATCCCAGCTCCATCACTTGCAAGATGCAGGATTCTGGACAAGTAACTTCTCTAGACCTAATTTCTAATGAGTAAAATGGGGATCAAAGTAACACTTCATAGGGTTACTGTGAAGAGCAAAACAGACAAACCTACCTAAATGCTTGATACACAAAAAGGCTCCAATAAGCAGTAAATGCCAGTAGGCACCAAGGGAGAGAAGTAGTAGTACTAGCAGTAGTAGCTGTTGTAGTAACATTATTCAAAAGCACATTCATTCACTTACCCAGAGTATTTGCCTTGCACCTACTAGAGCCAATAGCCAAAACAGCAGCAAAGCCTTGCAGTTTCTCCTTGGAAGGTTTCTCAGTTGTTCCCTCTTCATTAAAGTTCTGCAGCAAATAGGCTCTGGGGTAAAAATAGGGGGAAAGTGAAGCCATAGGAATCTAATTCCACCAGTTAGGAAAAACTAGGCCTAGACTGGCTGAAAATCCTCTCTCTCAGTTTCCTATCTATTTAATATAGTTGATAGTGCCTGCTTCTTCCTGGTCTCATGGGTAATCGTTTCCCAAAGAATGTCCCCTCCTCTGAAATGCTCCCAAAAAATCTCCAAACCTTAACTGCCTGACAAACAAGCCTGAGAAACAATGAATACTATATCTATTCTCCTCCTCCACCTCAGAAGATTGACAAGGTATCTAGTAAAGGCTCTGAATACTTTATTTTTTAAAACAAAACAAAACAAAAAAACTGTTTTCCAACATTTTGCAAGCTTACTTGGCCAGAAACATTAACAGCTCAGTGTGGAAAACACTGGCATAGCAGGCCAGATTACAGCCTGTAAATTCCCAGAGGGCAATGACTTGGTGTGCTTTGGCCACTGCCATAACCCTAGCACTTAGAAAAGTACGTGGCACGTAGCAGCCATACATATTTGTTCAAAAAATTTGCCTCAAACAACGGCCCTCTATCTTCTGTAAGGCAGTCACACTAAGAGACAAGGTTAGTTAAGTACGACAAAGATCTAGGGCAGCATAAAGCCCACAGAGCGGGGCGAGGTGGCTCACACCTGTAATCTCAGCACTTCAGGAGGCTGAGGCAGGTGGATCATCTGAGGTCAGGAGTTCGAGACCAGCCTGGCCAACATGGAGAAACCCCACATCTACTGAAAATACAAAAATTAGCCAGGTATGGTGGTATGCGCCTGTCATCCCAGCTACTCGGGAAACTTGAGGAGAATCACTTGAACCCAGGAGGCGGAGGTTACAGTGAGCTGAGATCGCACCACTGCAGTCCAGCCTGGGCGACAGAGCGAGACTACATCTGAAAAAAAAAAGCCCCATAGAACAGGAGTGAACACTGAGATCCTACAGGGACCAGATAAAGTAAATAAGCTTGAGAGAGCTCTGTGAAAACTGCTGCAAAGGGAACTAATTCTCAGCTCCAGTCTGTTACTGTTGTTTCGGAAGTAAGTCAGGCCCAGTTTTGCCAGTTCTTCCAAATTAAGCAAAGCCAGAAATCTAGACATGTGAATAATCTCCTAATTTTATATACTGAAATTAACTCTAAAATATTTAAACATCATACAGACCAAAGTCTACAGGGCATGCAAGTCTACAGTGTTTGTCATAGAAAGAGTTGAATTTGAAATAAGTTCTAACTCATTCAGAAATGTTTTTCTCCAAGTACATACCATGACATTTAAAGAGCATTTAAAGGCCGGGCGCGGTGGCTTATGCCTGTAATCCCAGCACTTTGGGAGGTCGAGGCGGATGGATCACCCGAGGTGAGGAATTTGAGACCAGCCTGGCCAACATGGTGAAACCCCATCTCTACTAAAAATACAAAAATTAGCCGGGCGTGGTGGTCATGCCTGTAATCCCAGCTACTCCGGAGGCTGAGGCAGGAGAATCGCTTGAACCTGGGAGGTGGAGGTTGCAGTGAGCCAAGATCGTACCACTGTACTCCAGCCTGGGCAACAGGAGCAAGACTTCACCTCAAAAAAAAATTTTCTTTAATAACAATAAATAAAGAGCACTTAAGGAGCTTTAACTCAGTTAATAAGAAAAATGACAGTATTTAGAAAAATTACATTACCTTTCTCTGTATCCTGTAAGTAAAATGGTACAAAATATTTAAAGAATTATAGACATTAAACTTCCTCCTGACTCCTCCTGCACTATTTGAAAATTCCCTCATCAAGCACCCCTTCATACTAGAGAAGAAAGCATTATACCATGGGGAAAAAAACCCTAAGCTGACGAAAGGGAAAAACATCAAATTCTGAGTCACTTGGGGATTTGCACAGAGTGCAGAGTGCATGTGCATCTCTGGGCAGGCAGTTCACCACACCTGGTGAACGATGCATAGGTATCAATGAGTTGCAGCGTGGCTGGAAGTAGGTTCTTGGTAATCTCAGACGACTTATGAGGATCAGTCTCAGCAGCCATCTTAGAAAAATGCTCATCCAAAGAGACCTGGACCTTTGAGATGGCGGCATCAAGGGTGTAGATGGACTGCAGACTGGGAATTTCATGCAGCTGCAAGATGGTGGTACAGTCGATACTACAGAAGGATGAGATCTTTAAAAATATGCAAAATATAATTAGTTGTGGCAAAAGGCTATGGTAGAAACCAAGTTCTATCATTTAGGCTCCAATACTGCATACCTGTCGAGCGAAGTATTCCTCTACTATTTCAACATCATATTTCACTGAGCTACACTTGGTTGTGGATGCCAGTTCTAGGAGCGAGCTAGCATGCTCAGCCTTCATTCCCTGTTTGATAAGGTGATCCTATTTGGACAGCAAGAAAAAGTGTTTAGGAGATCAATATAGGCAGAGTCCAAAGCTTTCATCATCTTCAAATTTAAAAGCTTCAGAAAGCACAAAGCACTCTGGCTTTGAATAGTCTTAGCAGCAAGCTCTGTGTTACCTTTATCCAGTTGACATAGCAGTTGATCCGGAGCCGAGAAGACCATCGCAGAGTGTGCAAGATGTCACATTCGCTCATCTCAGGTGAGTTCATGGATAGCTGGTTAATGTAAGTCTTTGATGGTGGTAAAATTCCTAGGATCCTCCATAGTATCAAGAAGTAATATTGAAGGGCACAGGCCTCCTGGAGAAAGGAAAAGGAGCATAGAGGTAGCACTTGGTATTGCCTCAAGATCTCCCTCACAGTACAAACTGCTCCAAATGCAACTTTTAAGAATTGTGTAGAGTCCTGATTTTAAATTGACATTTGGCCCCCAAGTCCATTCTCCAGATCTTTATAGAGAGTGCACCTACCAGAAAATGGCAGAACACACATACAAATAATTTGTTCCATATTCTGCACATTTCACAGACCAAAAAGGCTATTCCAAGACAACTTTGGCTCCCTAATAATTTACCAATTAACCAAAAGAGGGCAGGACATTCTGTTTAGCAGACCTGCAATCAGCTGTTCATTTTTGTGGCTTGGAATTGCTTCTAGAAGTATAGAGACACATTAACAGAGCCACAGAAAAATATCAGGCTTGAGGCTTTCAATATCACACATCAACCAGTATTCACAGGAGAGATGGCACTTGGGGGGGACCACTAATTCTTAAATTACAGTTCTCTCAGTGGTAACCAAAAAAAATGCAAAAGCTGATTAAATTCTCTTTAAGGTGAACATAGCTACCCAAACTACCTAGAAATACTGAAGAATCAGTCAGTTTTGCAAATTAATATTCAATAAACTGATTACATCTCAGAAGAAAATTTCTGATAGAAATGATCAATGATCAAACACAACCCAAAGACTTCCCAGGGTTCCACCATCTTACCAAGGCTGTTACATTCTTGTTTTCCTTTCTCCTAACTGTATCAAGCTGGGACCCAGCTGCAAGCAGGGCTGTCAGTGCAGCATAAAGCTCATCATACTTGACAAGCTTGGAGAAAAGGACGTCACATGCCTGACATAAAGAAAGAAAGACAGACAATCATTTCTTTATTTTTAAAGTATTTTTTCCTACTGCCTATGCACTATCATTTATCCTCATGATTGACAAAATATCCCATCAAATCATACTCATTAATTTCTCCTTGGAGCAGATTCCCATTCTGGGATGGTGCTCACAGTTTGCAAGCTATTGTGAGCACACAACTGCAGGCATTAGAATGAGAGAGTAAGGCAATTATTTTTGTCCATTAAAATACTTGCATGTGAAAAACACTAACAAAGATTGTCTTCAAAAATCAAGGGCCAGAGGTGCCAATCCAGCAAGGACGACCCCCACAGCAAAAGTGCACCCAACAAATAAATATCCAAGTAACATTTTCCTATTAGAATGA